CTTCACTGTTCCTTTACAGAATATAAGGTAAAAATGTGGTTTCTCTGGTTGGAAGATTTCGGGATTCTGTGGGGTACTTCAGGGTAGCTCTTGAGATACCTGTCCACTTGGGCACTTGCACAGACTTGTCTTCCTTCCAAAAGGACACCTGCATCCCATTAAAATGAGAATTGCTACCACCTGCTAACCTGTTAGTTGCTTAGGATTTATTGAGTGCTAAAGGTGAGACTGGATATATATGTGTGTGTATATATTTATATGTATATATATTTGTGTGTGTGTGTGTGTGTGTGTGTTGCTGACTATTGAACCCAGGGCCTTCTGCGTGCTAGGTAATTGTTTCACTGAGCTATAACCCCAGCCCTAAGTTCCTTTTGAAAAATTGTTGTACTGTTGTTCATTTTTTGTTTGTTTGTTTTTATCTTTTTGAGACAGGGTCTCGCTATGCAGTTCAGGCTGACCTTGAGCTCACTTTGTAGCCCAGGCTGGTCTCAAACTTGCAATGATCCTCCTGCCTCAGTCTCCCAAATGGTGGGGTTACAGGCATGCGCCACCACGTCCAGCTGTTATTCCTTTTTTTCACATAAATGTTATAGAACCCCGTATTCATTTACCACAAACTTTGAGGTTTTAAACAACACAAACTTTGAAGTTTTAAATAACATTTCTTTTTTTTTTTTTTTTTGTCTTTTTGAGACAGGGTCTTGCTATGCAGTTCAAGCTGGCTTTGAGCTCACTTTGTAGCCCAGGCTGTTCTCAAACTTGCAAGATCCTTCTGCCTCAGCCTCCCGAGTCTGGGATTATAGGCGTGCGCCACCATGCTGGTCTAAATAACATTTTTTCCAGTTTCACACCTCTATAGGTAACACATCTGGCACTAGGCTAAAATCAGGATGCTGGCAGTTCTTTTCTGCAGACTGTAGGGGACCCTCATTTCCTTATCAGTCCCAGCTGTGAACCCCTCCACACATTCCTTGGCTTATGCCCTCTTCCTCCATCTCCAAAACAATAGCAGCTTAAGTCTTGTTCAAGGTTGCATTTCTGCAGTGTCATTTTTCCATCTCTGTAACATAGCTGGGGAAGGGGAAAGGGTCTCACTTTCACAGATTCGTGTGAGTAGATTGAGCACACGTGGAAAATATAGGATACTCTCTCCATTTTGAGGTCTTTAACCTTAAGTCACATTTGCAAAGTCCTTTTTGCCTTGTAAAATAACATATTCATAAGTTCTAGGAATTAGATGTCAACATTCCTGGAGGGAAGATTATCCTGCCTTCCACAGAACACACATACTGTTCAAGAGTACTAGTTTTACTAATGTAAAACTTCTAGCTGGGTACATTGGTGCATACCTGTTATCCCAGCTGCTCAGGAGGCTGAGGCAGGAGGATCCTAAATTTGAGGCCAGCCTGGACAACTTAATGAGACTGTCTCAAAATAAGAAAAATTAATAAAAGGGGTAGGAATGTATCTCAGTGGTAGAGTGTTTGCTGGGTATGCATGAAAATCTGGGTTCAATCCCCAGATAGCAAAAAAAACAAAGGGTTTGAATTAATGTTGAAAAATTATACCACCTCTAACTTTTTCTTAGGTTCAAACTCTTCCTTGCACTTCCTGTTGAATATAATTTCTTAGGTATTTTGTACGCACGTTTTTAGCTTTTGGCACAGAACAAACCTCCCCGTGATTTATTGTTGCTCACACATCTGGGGGTCACCTGACGCAGACGGGATTCAGATAAGTCAGACTTGCTTCTGTGAGTTTGCAGGTCAGTTGGGAACTGTTTAGTACAGCCTGGGGCTCTGTGGTGTCACTCTGCCCTACACATTTCTCATCCGCCTACCTTTGGGCTAGCCAAGGGATGTTCTTTTCATGAAAATGGCAGAAATGCACAGACACAGGTAGAAGCATATGATGCTCTTTTCACTTAAGCTTGGAGTGCAGGACCTGTTTCTACTCTGTTCTGTCAGCCCAAACTAGTCACAGGGCCAAATTAAGGGGCTGGGAAATAATGTGTATGTACAACAGCAAATCGCCCACTAAGGAATGTCTGGAAGCTAATGGCCACTATTTGAGCACCTGTTGTAATTGTAGAGGCCAAAGGTAACTTGTATTAATCTCATGATGTTGCAATAAATTTATTATGAAAATATTTATACACATTTTTTCTTTTCCTGATTGAATACTTTTTTTTTTTTTTTTTTTTGGCAACCTCTATATATTCCACTCCTCTGGGGAAGAACTGCAAAGTCACTTAGCAAAGGGACTTGAGTGGAGAGAGTATAAAGAGCTGGGCAAAGAATACATCTATTCTGTATTCTCTATGTATCCCATGCTGAACTCTGACTACCTCTGTCACCAGAAACCTGTTTTGTTTTCCTTCTTTCTTGTATACTCTTTGCCTGAAGCCCAAAACCTAAAAATTATTTTAGTCTTTCCATTCTCCTCCCCCTATCTGCAGTACTTACTTTGTAAATATTTTTTGTATTCTATCATCTTTTCCTTATTACCACTACTGTTCTTGTTCAGGTTCTTGTCTATTTAAGAAAGGAAGGAGGGAATAGCCTCTTAATAGGTTTTAATCCTCCTTCCTTTAGATCTGTCCATCTCTTTTATTGTACCAAGAATACTGTATTTGATTTTTTTCTTTTACTTTAGACAAGGTCTTGTTCTATAGTTCAAGCTGGCCTTGACCTCACTGTGTGGACCAGACTGGCTTCAAACTTCTGGCAGTCCTTTTGCCTTAGCCTCCTGGGATTATAGGCAGGTACCACCAGGTGCAGCCAGAATACTCTGAGAGTCGCATGTCACTTCTCTTCCCAGGCTTCGCTTTGTCCCTTGTGGCCTTGCTTTTCCAATTTCATCTTTCACTTGTTTCCTGCCTTCAGTTTTACCTTTTTAGTTCAGGTGTCAGTAAATTACAGCCCCAAGGTTTGGTTGACCACCTATTTTTGTATAATTATGAACTCAGAATGATTTTTACATTTTTTACTGATTAGAATACAGAGAAATAACATTTGGTGGTCATGAAAATTTGTAAATGCAGATTCAGTGCCTGTAAGTAATGTATTGGAACGCAGCTGTGCTCATTCTTGTACGTATTCCCTGTGGCTGCTTTTGCACTGAAACAGCAGAGCTGAGTTAGTGCAACAGAGAGCACGTGACTTACAGAGCTAAAGCAATTACTGTCTGAGTCTTAATAGAAGTTTGCTAACCACTGCTGTAGTCACACAGAGCTTTTAATGCCTCCCCTTACATACCATTTCGTGACTCAGTACTTGTTGTTTTCCTTTGCCTGGTTAACTATGTTTTGAAATAACAGCTTTACTAAAATATAATTTATAAACTATGCAATTTGCCCACTTAAAATGTACAGCTCTGTGGTTTTTAGTATATCCATAGAAGTGTGCAACCATCAGCAGAGTCAGTTTTGTGTAGGACATTTTAAGGATCATCCCCAAATACCTCATTCCCAGTAGGAATCACTCTGTTCCCCCAGCCTCTTGGCCCTAGAGGAGCACTAAATCTGTTACTGGAGTTCTGAGTTGCTGTGGGGTCCTTCTAGAGGCAGGTGCTTGTGTTCCTGAACAGAGAACTGGGCACAGCTGCCAAAGGTAGAGAGGTTTTACATTTATTGAAGGTCAGAAAAGCAGTATGCTCTGCAGAGTGCAGAGCAGGCCACGTAGGACAGAGCACAGTGGGGCCAAGGTTCATTGCTGCAATCTTTTGTATCTTTCATTCTGATGTCAGATCTAGGCCATCTTTTTTTTTTTTTTTTTTTTT